GAGTCTGCTTATTACATTCAAAATACTGACGACGTGGAAAGAAAGAATAAAAAACAAAAATTTTCTGGTCCCATGACTGGGCAAATGCCAAGGCTGTGTCAGGACGACACATTGTGGTGTTTCATAAGTTATCAGCAGACGGCACTAATCAATGCTGCCTTATTTTCTTTAAATAGAGTTCACTTTGTCACCATAGGGCTGTGATATGATACGAGGCTGAATGTAAAACATTCCTCTCCATGTGAAGCTGGCTTTATGGATATAGTTTTTTTTGTTTTCTTTTAGGTGACATCAATAAACCCTGTAGCTAATAACCTCTGGCAGACATATATTCATATTTATTTGCTGTTCTTTTGCCACTTAGATGAGACTGGAGTTCTTCGAATAATTGAATAAATTGATAATTGTCTATATATATCTGGAACTCTTTGTCATCTGACATCCGAAATACCGACTCTCCCTCTTTTCAAAACAAAACTCAAAACCCACCTTTTTAAAATTTCTTGCCCACTTCACCACCCCTAACTCTAACATTCCCCTTATTCTGCACAGTTTTATTCATTCCACTTTTATTTAATTCATTTATGCAGTTTTTATTTATGATGTATTTATGACTTTGTATGTTTCCTTATGTTTCAATGTTGTTTTAATGACGATCGTCTTTGTAAAGTGTCCTTCAGTGGCATGAAAGGCGCTTTTTAAAAATAAAATTTATTATTATTATTATTATTATTGTTATTATTAAAGACTTTACTGCTGGCTTCTTCAAGATTGAAGCCTCTGACAAAGAAGCAACGTTTATTTCCAAAAGATTGTTTCTGTTAGAGTTCAGCATAGTCGAAATGTTTTTTTTTTTTTAAAGGTGGGAAGCCTTTCATAGGTGACAGCTTTTCCCAGTTAATGCTTTTCATATGGACTCCACAATTACATGTTATGTTTACCTTCCATTTGTTTTTGCGTTTATAGACTGTGTTTAGCTTATTCGTCTTTTTCTTTCTCCAAAGCTCCAAGCATTGATCCAGGAAGCGGACCCGGGGGCGGACTATCGCATAGACCGCGCCCTCAACGAGGCCTGTGAGTCCGTCATCCAGACGGCCTGCAAACACATTCGCAACGGGGATCCCATGTGAGTCCCCTCAGGAGGTTTATCACACATACCAACCTGTAGATCTGCTCTCATCAGTTTAGCATTTTTCACATGCTTTGAGTTGCTGTTCGACATTAAATGTTGGCATTTAAAGACCGAAGACTGATTTGAAGTGTTTGTGTTGCTGACCCCGCAGGATCTTGTCCTGCCTGATGGAGCATCTGTACACGGAGAAGATGGTGGAGGACTGTGAGCACAGGCTGCTGGAGCTACAGTACTTCATTGCCAGGGACTGGAAGTAAGCTTTACTGATTTCCTAATCAAATGAAAATATTCTTTTAATTACAAACTGCCACCAAACAATGATTTAGTTGGGAATGACTTTGCGTCCACCATGTGACGTGTTTGTGTTTCTGTCTCTTTTCACACAAGACAAAATGGCACACGTGCAATAGAGACAGTTCTATCGGGAACATTCTGCATTTGATGTGTGCGTCTATTAGGGTTGTCACGATACTAACATTTTCAACTCGATACTCGATACTCGATAAATCTTTGATACTCGATACCATTTTCGATACCACAAGGATAAAAAAAAGACCCCAAAATGTAACTGAATTTTGACAAGTTAGTGTCTTGGGTTTCAAACTGACCTATTAGTGATGTTATGGTGGCCCACATTAATGACCCTAACCCTAACCCTCCACACTTCATTATTGTGAGAAATAAATATTTTTTGTTTCAGTTTGTTTGGACTGATTGTACAAACCTATTTAACATACACTATTTTAACATAATATTATGTATAAAGTTTAATTAAGTGTTTGCGATATTAATTTCACTACTTTTGAATTAATGTGTATATTGCCATGAAGCAATTAGGATTTTCTTGCCTGGGATTTTCCTATTGGTGACCTAATCAAAATGGCCGACTTGGGTGTGGGCGGAGTTTGATATCCATCCTTGGCTTCCTGCAGACTTGGTTAATGTTGGCGTGTTATTATTAGCCATTAGCCGCAGCTAGCAATTCAAGGCTAACATCACGTTAATGATCATAAACAACCTAAATAAATAAGTAAATAAATCAATCAGAGAAAATAAATATCGTATCCGGATACAACGTTTTAGTATCAATATTTTTTTGAGTATCGATACTTTTGACAAACCCTTAGCGTCTATTAAATTCCGACTTTCATAGGTTTGCTTTTTGCTCCTGAGTGTGTACCCCACGTGTGTGTGTTTACGTCATCTAACTGGGAAAAAGGGGCTCCTGGCATAGATTCAGTTTAGAATATCAGCCAAGCTCTTCACGTGGTTTGGATGAGTTCATAACTAAACGATTGCCCGTCCTGTTTCTAAGGCTGGACCCGATCCTGTATAAGAAATGTCAGGGCGACGCCGCCCGGCTCTGCCACACCCACGGCTGGAACGAAACCAGCGAGATGATGCCCCCGGGGGCCATTTTCTCCTGTCTCTATCGCCACGCCTACCGCTCTGTGGAGCAGGGCCGGAGGGTAAGTCTGTCCCCACAGGCCCCCCCTCTGATCCGACTTATACAGGAGTCATTCACACTACACGTGACTTAAACTTAACCGGATTTCACCGTCATATCTAAGTCAGTCAGAGAACCCACTCAAAATACAGAAAATACAGCATCTGCTGATGTTGCCAAATTGTCTTTGTCTCATTTCTTGGCCCCTTTCCACGGATAAGCCCCTAACCAACATTTCTTGTCTACACCTGCTGGCATTGTTCACTGAGGAGTCTTTATTTTTGCTCCAAATCTGAGCACCAATAACAGCTAACAGCAAATTTAAGTAAATTAATTATTGACTCACTAGATTCTTTTTCATATAAAAAAAAAAAGTTGAATCACACAGCGTCAATGTCCATGTAGTGTTGCATAACTTAGAGCAATGTGTTTATATAGAGGAAAGGAAAAGTATAATGGACTCTGATTGACCTGAGGATATTCTCATAGCTTCCCAGTTGGCGTTTGAAGCAGACAGCCAGACTGTGAGTACGTCTTGTTGCCAACCAGATGATAGTAATTTCTGCCTGCAATGGTGATTTATGGTTGACGATTGTTTACAAGTTTCAGTGCATGTTGGTTTAATTATTGACGTGAGCTCCTGAACTGTGATGTGAAAAATCAAACAATTGCTCGGATTAATCAACTCGCAAATTGAGTTTTTGAAAAAAATCAACAATGAAACGTCCGACAGCTGCCATTTAAAGTTGTTTAATCTTGTGCCTCCCTGTTGTTTCTATCATTATACTTCTTTTTTGTGAATAAGTCTGTAGAACATATCCAATCCAAAGGAGGTAAACAGCCCAGTTTCACTCTGTCTCAATTTAGATTTTGATGTGACTTCTTAAAAATGAGCCAATTGATCATTTGTTTATATCTTTTTAAGAATTTGGTCAATTGATTCTAACATTTAAAACTGGTACTCACCCCCCCCCTCCAGCTCTCCCGGGACTGTAAAGTGGAGGTCCAGAGGATCCTCCACCAGAGGGCGCTGGACGTGAAGCTGGACCCTGAGCTGCAGAGGCGCTGTATGACCGACTTGGGGAAATGGTGCAGCGAGAAAACGGAGGCCGGGCAGGAGCTGGAGTGTCTGCAGGATCATCTGGAGGATCTGGTCACAGACTGCAGAGATGTGGTTGGAAATCTGACGGAGCTGGAGTCAGAGGTTCGAACACATTACTTTAACCTTATAATCCCATATGTATCATATTTGATACATTAAATGCATCATTTGATGGTAAAAACTTTGCTCAAA